GACGCTCGAGGTGCTGGGGATTCTTCTTCTTCATAAACTTCGTCGATCAGTTCCAGCATCTCGTCGTCGTCGACGAGTCCAGGCTGCTCCTGATAATCTGCTTCACGTCGATTTCCCTCGTCGTCGAGTAGTCTCGGTGATGGCTGCCTCCCTTCTTCACGTCGACTCTCAGGGAGATCGCTATTTTCATCCCTGTCATCATTCATTCTTGCTCTACGCCTGGGTCTTCCTCCAGGTCTTCTTTTGCAGCTTCCTCCCCTTCTTCTGAGGGTTTGAGTGCCTTATCGCCCTTCCGTTCTTCTGAGGGTTTGCCCCTATGTCCTCTTTTACTTCCTTAGATGGATGACTTTCGCAACTGTCGACTTTCGATGGTTGCGAAGCTCCCCCCCCCCCGCAGTCGTTTCCATTTTCTCTTCATTGCTTGTTTCTTGGTAAATGTTCATTTTCATGCTCAAGGACTGTGTTTCCATGCTGTCGACGCGAATTCCCTTGTCCGTCTTCTGAGCGTTGCACTCTTTCAATTTATCATCATCGTGTGTTATCGGCGCTTGTAATACATTTTCACACATGTCTCTCTCTACTAAGGGCATGCCTCATTTCATATTCCAAATCATATTATTCAGGTTTCTTTTCTTCTCGTATTTCCAGTTATTTGTTGTAGAGAGTAGTAGTCTTCTAACAGTTTCATTTGCTCTTCAATAACTTCTTCAAGTGCTTCACGATATAACAGAATTTCGTTTGGGCCATCTGCAGCAGTCTGAAGCATCGCTTTCCATTCTAATCAGGCTACAACGCTGTTTATTAGCAGATTAGCTGTGTTGTATAATAACTTCAGTAGTGTTTTGATCAGAAGAAACTCAAGTCTCATCTTTTCCAGCTCCGGTTCAGAAGTTGACATTCCATTATCTGCACTTGCGCTTGCTCATGATCAGTTCTTACTGACGTCATCTTCGGCAAGATCGATTGGAGCGACTCCTTCCTTGCACTTAATCGTTTTGCCACTTCAACTATGTCATCGTAAACCTTTCCAGGCTTTGGTAGTTGGTCCATTGCTTGCTGAAGGTTGCAATTCTTGTCGCACGCATTCGTTTTCTTCATCACTGTCCATCTCTGAAATAAGTCTGACTAATGATTATGTACAATTTTTATATTTGATTGTGTTTTCTTTCTTTATTTTTTTTCGTTATCTTGATTTTTTTTCTCTTTGGCGTGTGTTGTCCGGACTGTGTGCACATTTATTTTTCGGCGTTGAAGTACCGCCCCTGCCATGACGGCTGTAGCGCGTAATGGAAAGCACAGTACTTTGATGAGTGCGCGAAAAAAACATTTTAAGAGCGCACAGTCCCACTGTTTGGAGAAAAGTATACGATATGAGGAGCGCTTCGCCATGAGTATGAGCGCTATAATTACAGTTTTGTACCAGGCGAGATAAACGTTCAAGAGATGTGAGAGTCAGGCCATTCAAATTCTGCAAATACGGTGCTAATGCTCTTCAATGGGGATAAGAGATATGTATGAATGTCGCCTGCATACTTGAGAATGCCTCACATGATTAAGTAATTTTTTGAGTTTCCGCTTGAAATTGAGCAGTTGGTGGTCGTGCTGTGCTCAAATGAAAATATAGGTGGAAATCGGTGTATTTTGAGCGCATGGTACCACAAATGCTGTATTTTCGCAAATAATTTCGCCTGTTGTGTACGTTGTTGACTTGCATGCGTTTGCGACTTTTTGCAACAAAAAAATGGTATATAATGTTGCAGTTTTTGTTTTGACCCCGGCGCACCAGCGCAAAATGCCCCGTCGATCTGCTGTTTCTCCTGTTTTGTCTGCGCCTCCACCTATCACGCGCCATCTCACCTCCACATGCTGCACGGGGAATACAAAGGACGCAGCAAGTGTTGAAAAGCAAGCTTTACATTCACATAAGTAATTCTTTTCCTATTATTTTTTCTTGGCAATCACCACTTTTGGAACGTCACTGATCTTGAGATAACTGTAAAAAAGGATTACTTTTTGCTCATTTCCCGGGGCGCGAACCGGTGGGTCCTGGAGCGAATCTGCCACTGGAGAGTCGCCAAAGTAAAAATTCTGAAGCTGTTGTGAAGGTTCTACTCGATTTTCAGCGATGTTGCTTCTGCTATTCAATATATCTCTTTCTCTTCTTTGAGTTTTCTGAACAAACTTGTCAATGTTACACGGTTTGAATAACCCTCACTTTTACGGCTCTATCTATAAGGCTTAAGGTATGGCTCCACTTATTGTTAGTACCATGTGCGTAGTTTTGAATAGCTCCAGCAGTAGCAGTTAGAACTGGCTATAAATAAAAGATAAATTGTATGTGTTATAATTTCACTCCGTTTCGTTCCTTCCCTTGGGCGGAGTTTGACTTGATTACTGGGTCTTCCCCGGAGTTCGTAGAGGGGGGGGGGGGGGAGGGTTGAGAGACCGGGAAGTAAGGATTTGCTTCCTTGCCTACGCAAGCATCCAGCTAGAAGGATGCCAGTGGCGGTCCGGGGGGGGGGTCTCCCTTCCTCGAGAATGGGTCGCGAAATTCTTGAAAGCCATTTAATGGGTTAGGGTTATAAAAATGGGTAAGTGATTTGTTTACACTTGTAAACAATTGTAATAATTTTTAATACTCTTTAAAAATTCAATTAGCTTTGTAAAAAATTTTTTTTCGTGCTTACTGCCACGCCCCCTTTTTGGTCATGAGCCCACAAAAATTTTGGGAAGTCCCAAAAATTTTTTCGGAGTGCGTGGCATTAGCCACGCACTTTCACTCAAAAATTTTTTTGCCCCCTCCCCTCCCCCCAGTTCGAAATCCTGGCACCACCACTGGAGGACGTCTAGTGAAGGTTCCCTTTCGAGATGAAATGTGTTCAAAATACGTCCATTAGGATAAACTCGTTTCTTGTTTGGGACTTGCTGTGCGTTTTTGTGTAAGGAGTTATGAGCGTTTTACCACATTTGACACGAATTTGACATTTTCGAAATATTGCTTGTCCAGTAAAAGTGGTTGACCTTTTGTAGATTTTTTGGATGTTTTGTATAAGAGGAAGCTTTACGTACATCAGCAAAGGGTTTTCACTCGCAAGAACCTGGACCAGATGATGCATCAGATTTGCGGTTCACCGCACTGCCTACTACACCACATGCTGCTGATTGTTTGACGTGCGAGGCTTGTGCGGTGGCATTACGACTAGTTAAAAATAAGTCTCTGTCCAGCAGAATGGCAGCTGAACTTGCCATTCTGTCTGCTAGACCGTAAATAGAAGCGGTGAAATTAATTGGGAAAGAGGGAGGAGAATGTGGGGCCAGACACGCATGGTTTGATAATTGGTCCCGTTTGATACATTGCAATGCATAAACGAAGTAATGACATTGACGGAATTTGCAGGACGCAGGAGTGAATTCTCAGCTTGCGTATATTTGGAATAAGTATGAATGAAATAGGCAAACATAGATCAATTTGAGAAGAAAAAAGGGGACAAATGGACGAAAGCTGACATTCAATGGGAACTTCTAGGTAAGCGCATCTGTAATGGGGCATAGACGCGGTATCTACCATAATCAGGTTTGTGCTTCAATGGGAAGAGGCACCGCGCAACCCGTGAGTGGTGGCGACTTAATTCCGGTATGCAACGGTTTTGCTCAAGGATAGATTCTTGGCTGGTGAAATAGTCCATGACATAATAGTCCATAACTTGCATAAACTCTCAGAAGTATGCTCCAAGACAAGCAGTCATCTCGGTGGCTCCCTGAAAAATCACTAATTTGAGAAATCGTATACCCTCAGATAGGTTTCCAAAACTTTCTACTTAACCCAGCAAATAACATTCTGTGTATATAGTCCAAGGTTGAATTTATATGCTTGTTTCTACGTTATAAGCAAGCCACTTGTTCATTTTGGCCTTGTTCAATTTGCCCTAGCTTTATGAAAGAACACGGTGGAGCATATTCAGTTTCAAAATATCTTGAGCTTCGTCTAAGTGTTCGTTTATATGCCTGTATAGCGTGTTTTACAATACCACTTCTGCTTTTTGCCTCAAAAACAAAGTCCAGCGTGGTGCTGTGCCGTGTGTGGAGGGGTGCGTAGCAAGTGGTACCCAGGCAGCCGACTGCTGCCGCAGCCAGCCACCAGAGCTGCCGGCATAGCCGCTGCAGATGGTATAGTAGCCACGCTCGTCGTCTGAAGCTGTTGCCGAGAGGTTTTTTGGCACCTCGTCAAGCTGAGGTGCGATATCAGCCTAAGAAAGGCGTGGTATCGTCGATATATACAGGGTGTCCGTAAAGTATGTATGCACTGTTTGATCGTTAATATCTCTTTTTCCAAGAAGTCTTTTGCCTTGTTTCACGTACCATTTTGTAGAGCTGGCTTCAACTTAGATTTGCAGTATAGAACGAATCACCCATCTCTCTTCATTACTGTAGGATTACGGTAGAAACTTGAAACATATGGTGTTACAGTGAAAAAAGCTGCCTTTTCAAAAATTTCCAAAAAATGTGAAAACTTGTGTAGTAGGGTTTTTATGGACGCTGAGTTCAATACTCAACTATACACAAGATTGCGAAGCTTCCTAAAAGGTGCAACCGCACTTATTAGGATCAATGAAAAAAATGGCCGCTACCTCTTACCTGGCATAACTCTTCAATGAAGCATCACAGTAAGTTGGGAACTTTACAATTAGAATCAGCAACTCTAATTAGCCTAGTGTAAAAGTTTTCAGGTTGTTTTGTCCCCTTTCTGAGGCAAAATATGGCCTTTCATGGCCCAAAACCCTCTTTCAACTTTCTACCGTAATCCTACAGTAAAGGAGAAAGATGGACGATACGCTCTGTACTGTAAATCTAAGTTAAAGCCAGCTCTACAAAATGGTACCTGAAGGAAGGCAAAAGATTTCTTGGGAAAAGAGATATTAACGATCAAACAGTGTATACATACTTTACGGAAACCCTGTATATTATTTTGAACAGCAGAAAATCCATGGTTTTTGAGAAACATGCCAATAAACGAAGGTGAGCAGGGGAGAGGTCTCTCAAAGGAAAATGACCTCATATTTAAATCACTCCGAAATCTCAAAGGTATCAGAAGCTGAAAAGTTTAGAAATTACTCAAATTTCTAGAGATTTTTCGTCGCTCTTACAGAACGTTGAGGACAATTACAATCGTTTGTGAATGTTTGAAAATTTTTTTGGTGTAGTTTTGTATTCGTCTATATGGTTCTCAATGAAATATGGCTTTTCTCTGCTGTTCAAAATGATATAGATATCGAGGATATTACGCTATCATTGGCCCACTCAATTTGACTGACCTACTTTGCCTTATTTAGCTCGCTTAACATCACTATGTATGAAATAATCATTTTAACACAATTTTCTTAACGTTATATCCATGACATTTCCCTGTAATTGTTCTCGTTTATTTTTCGACGTAAAAGAGAAAAAATTATTAGAAATTTGAGAGTTCCTAATTCTTTCAGCTTCTGCTTCGCTTGAGCTTTTGAAGTGATTTGATTTTGTGATCATTCTCCTCTAGAAAACCCTCCTCTTCACCTTTGTTTATCTGCATGTTTCTCAAAAAACATGAAATTTTTGCTGTTCAAAATGATATAGATGTGGAGAATATCATGCTTTCCTCAGGCTGATATCGCATCTCAGCTTGACTAGGTGCGAGGAAACTTCTCGGCAAGAGTTTTAGACGACGAGCGTAATTATTATTTCCAGCGGCTTTGCCGGCAGCTCTGGCTGCTGGCTGCGACAGCAGTCGGCTGCCTGGGCACCACTTGCACGCATCCCTGTGTGGAGCCCATCATGTACATTCAAAAGTGAAAGCGGTAAGCCTTTGCTGCTTCACTCTTTAACGTCTTTACTTGCGATTTAATGTTACTCATCTGACTAATACATATTGAGCAGCAAAAGTTTGCACGTTTATCTTTCTAAACAAGTCTCAGTTAGGAACACATTCAACAGGCAGACGAAGGCATGAATTTTGGAACTTGGTACACTGATCTAAACAACGTAAGTTCGTTCTGTTGGATTCTTCACAAGTTGAAGGCTCAGAAATGCTCATGGAATGGGAGTTAGCATATTTCAGTAAGCCAGTATTCCAGAGCGAAAGTCCCTCTTGTGGAGAGCGAGTGAAAATCGATGTAGGTGGTACTGTGTTTAAAACTACGCTTTCAACTCTTAGAAGGCTCGATGATAGTGTACGTTTATCATTCTCTACCTGTTTTTAGTTGAAAGTTGAAGCATTCAGAAATGCTAATGAAACGCACTAATGCAAATTGTCAAAGATATACTCTACTTTGACTGGCGGAGGGAAGGGCTGGCGAAAGCAGGAAAATGACAGGAACAGGAACCCAGTTCTATTTGTTGACAGGGACCCAACTGATTTCTCTCATGTACTTGAACTGCATTCTATCAAGACCTTACATTTTGTTTTTAAGGTACTCAACTATTTGAGAGATGGGAAGAATGTCGTTTTGCCTGAAGACGACTACACTCTGAAAAGTCTCCGAAGAGAAGCTGAGGTGGGATCAAATAGGAGTTATACCTTATGATTCGCCAAATTCCAGTTCTACAATTTGCCTGGCCTTGTCGAGATCTGCTCTGCCATGCTGTGCCGTAGAGGAACAAATATTGAGGTTTTTTTCTCGATTTTGCCTCGATTTATATGAAGTATGGTTCATAACCAAACATCAGACATTTTTGGAGGGTTTTGGAAGTTTCTGGAAGAAAAGAACGTAAACAATAACAACATACATAGCTTATAAGCGAAACTTGGAGATCTTGGAAAAGCATTAGCTAAAATAGCTAATTTATCCGACTTTGTTCGGTCTCTCTTGATAGATCTGACTAAGCTTACCTTCCGTTTTCACACTTTACTTCAATATTCACCATCACAACTGACTAAGTAGAGAGTTTGTTGAGAACTTTGAATTCAACTTTATGTATCTCCAAATTCCCTCCATGGACGACTTGACCCTGCTTCGACAGATGAAAGTCTTAATTTTGGAGCAGGTCATTTAGTTGCTCAAAAAATAATGGCTCTAGTTGGGAACATCATGGTAGTTAAATTTTCCGATCCTACCTTACCGGCTACCAGTGGCGGTCCGAGGAGGAGGGGGGGGGGGACGGGGAGGGGGGGGAGGGAGCGCGCCCCCCGAGAATGGGTCGCGAAATTTTTGAAACTTACCTATATGGATTATAAAAATGTGCAAACGACTTGTCTATTTTTGTAAATAATTAAAATAATTTTTAAATTATTTAAAAATTCAAATTAGCCTTATAAAAAAAATTTTCGCGTCTGGATGCTTTGAAAGATACATCAGAAAGCAGGCCTCATTTGGCCTGCGATCTGTTCCAGACATGATATAAATCTCTTTTTTTGGCATATCACGAAATTACACACTCAATTAGACAATCTCCGCACATTAAACCCTACTTTATGAATGGGCAGAGAACTAGAAAAACCAGCACTTTTGGTTTCAAAGATGATTGTTTGGATACATGAACCACCATCAGCGCAACCGGGTCCGAAAACAGTCTCTTCCGTGCTGTACGATAGTGCCGGTCCCTTGCGGACCTCTGTTGTAGACAGAGCAGTTACGGTAGAAGATTATTGCATACAATCTAACATCAGAAGAGAAGGGTAACATCTTAATCTGTCGTGTTCGTCAGACATGGCTCTAACAACTATCGCTTGCTCAAATCTCTCCATGCTTTCGCCACGAAAGGTATTTATGAGCATGCAGACCTCAAATGCGCCTTCATTTCGATCAAAAACAAGTGCCTTTGTTATTATGAAATCAAAGATCTTCTAGTCGTTGACAACATATCCTTGTTAGTAATAGCCGTACGTTTTTGATCACTTGTTAACCGCTGCAATTTCGAACTCCGTCACTTGGGACCAAGATGAATCGCGGGCTTACCGTTTATATAAACAAGCCAGTCACACTATTAACAAGCTGATTCATTCTTCAACTTCAATGGGCTTTCAGCCATGTCGCATTATGAGTGTATAACGCTGGACCCTTGTATAAGTCTGTCATGCGGTCGTCAATGTGCTGAGGCTGTAAATAAAAAGTGTCTGAAAATTTTTCACCGAGTGTAAGACATACAGGGTGCGTCACAATTACTTGCGCGTGTATCATTAAGCGCCATACGAACATAAGACCGGCTCAGCCAGCGGTTAAGCTTGATATTGTTTTCTTGGTTCTACAACATTGTATCCTAGTTGAAAGAAGTAAAATTGCCTGTTTTGCTTTTCGGTAAAAATTCATAATAATTCTCTGACTTTGTCGCGTGCTGCACGAAGGTAGAGGCCCACAAACTTGCCCAGTATGTATCTTTTTAGTGATCGCTTCTCTCAGGTGAAGATTTCGCCGTAATGGTAGATCTAATCTTTGACTTTAAGATCACTGAGGTTTGGAATCTTTAGGAGCATTCAAAACAAAAATTTTAACTATTTAATAATTTGCGTCAGCTTGCGTTTTTTCTGTCACAGACATTGCTTTTTGCAATCCTTACTTTTCTAGACAAAGACCGATTTGGGATCTTGATAGTGCTTTTTGTAGAGTATGCTTACGGCATTCTGTGACATTAAATCCAGACCAAATTTCTCATTGCCGTCGTTGTGGCATTACTTTGAATATTTTGGCGAATAATTTTGGCGCACCCTGTATGTTATAGTGTGGACCCCGGCCTGCTTCTCATATGTACCTGCGCGCCGCGCACGCTGCGCGCGCTCTGTTGACGCTTCTCATCCCACTTATAAACAAAAAAACATTTTTACGTCACATAGGAGTGAAGTAAGAAGTACAACCCTATAACCTTAGCTAGAGAAGAACCTAAGCGGAAAAGAACGCTTCCACAACTTCCACTAACACTTAGTTCCCAGTCAGCCTCATGGATACTAGTATGTACACCAGTGATGGGTGAAAACTATAGAATTGACAAAGAGAGGATCACTTTTCAAACGTTTTCTTTCCGTAATCTCAGAAAACCTGAGAAGTGCAAGCTCGAGAGCGTAATTATACAAGCAGAAGGTTCAATGCCGCATTGAAAAGAGACTAAAAGCATTTGCACAAAACGAACTTAATCGGATAGATACGCTAATCCGTGATAGAAACCTTTGAAGAGAAATCCCCCTAGAATACAGTCAATGTTCACTATCGAGGAAGAAAAACGAGTATTTTCTGAGACAAAGCTCTCATGACTTCTGAGGCTCGTGGAAACTTATCCATCAGCTGTCGTGGGTCCTTCAAATCTAAACTAAAGAGATTAGAGAAGGAACAAGGTCAGTAAAGAGAGAAAAACGCATAAAAGCCACTAGAGGTTGGGACGAGAAGCGCACTGAAGGCATGCGCTGCTTGCGCGGCGCGGGGGTACATATGGGAAGCTGGCCGGGGTCCACACTATACGACCTAATGCTCTCGTCTAACTACTGTAATAGAAAATAAATACGGTAGTTTTTTGCTGAAAAGGCAAGCTAAATGCTCTTCGTGTACTCGGCCGATATTGTACCGACAGTCTGTACTTTTGCCGGCTGATGTTGATAATCCGTTCGTCTGTAAGGCTGCGTTCATACTGATTCCCATGTTCTGGAACTGTTCCCGCACAGTTCTCGCACTGTGCTGAAACTGTGCGGGAACTGTGCGGGAACAGTTCCAGAACATGGGAATCAGTATGAACGCAGCCTAAGTTCATCGCGATGATCTAATTACGTTTCATTTACTTTTGCGTGCCCCTACTAAGAAGGTCATAATGCAGTCTAATTGATCTTATGATGCATTTGTTGAATCCTTTATGACGAGAGTGCATCCAATTTCCGCAATAATGAACGCCTTTCCTCAACTGGCGATATCCTGCTGTTAGGGGTTTACGCATTTCTAACAAGCACAAGATTCTGTCTTGTTCTTCTATCAGTTCTATTACCGAATCTTACCTCACTACCTCCCCGAAAAATCATAGCATGTTATTGAATTGGTTATCTTTTTTGAACAAGTACCATTTATTGAAACGAATGAAGTGCTAGATTTGCAAGAATTACGATATCGAGCTGGTGCATGTATATGTACAACGCTAAAAATATACGGATGTATATTCGTATGTATGCGACATTATATCACGTAGAAGGAAACTGGATTTTAGAGGGTGTGCTGGCCACTTTTGAATACCCTTACATCTTGCGATGAAGTCCATCTTTTAACGCGCATTTTTTGCTTCAAAATTTTACAGTTTCTGATATTCCATGGTCGTTGAGTAATCTTGGCATGGTGATGATTGGTCAAGACTGTTATAATTCTTTATTATGCTTAATTTCGGATGGTTCGCTTTCGTCAAAGCCTTAAACTTGCCAAGTGAGGACTGCAGATCACCATTGACATGCGTCGTGTAGTTTCTGTTTTCTAATCCTTTTCTCAACTGTATTCTCAATTTTGATCTTTTCCTTAGCACTTCACACCACTGCTAAAGCTTCCCTTTGTTCTTCAGCTAGCAATGAGGTCCGTGCGTTATCATCTTATATATAAAGCTGGATGTCTGTTTGTCTGTCTGTCTGTCTGTCTGTCTGTCTGTCTGTATGTCTGTCTGTATGTGTGTACGTATGTTCCGAATAGAAAATTCCATTTCTGAACCGATCCGGACCAAACTTGGCACACATACACTTCGGGCTCCGGCGGGTGTCATAGGCTACTTTTCGTCATCGATCGATATCGATTTTATCGATCTTTATCGATTTTTTTGCCGAGTCCACCTACGGGACTGGAATTTGGCACAGGGGGGTAATCGAGCATGCTGATTACGAATATGATTTTAGTTTTTAAAACTATCCGCTACTTTTATCGATTTTATCGATTTTTATGCAAAGTTTGAGCTACGGGACTGGAATTTGGCACAGGGGGGTAATCGAGCATGCTGATTACGAATACAATTTTAGTTTTTAGAATTATCCGCTACTTTTATCGATTTTATCGATTTTTTGAAAAGTTTGAGCTAGGGGCTGGGAGTTGGCACAGGGGGGTAATCGAGCATGCTGAATACGAATACAATTTTAGTTTTAAGAATTATCCGCTACTTTTATCGATTTTATCGATTTTTTTTTGCAAAGTTCAAGCTACGGGACTGGGAGTTGGCATAGTGGGGTAACTGAGCATGCTGATTACGAATGTAGTAAGCTGTTTTTGAGAATATCCAGTACTTTGTTTTTTAGAACCTTGGACTAGAAGGGTGTATATTGGTACTTGGTAATGCTGATTCAAACGAGGTTACCTATATTTCTTATCCTCAATCTTGCATCAAAATATTTCTTTTCTCCTATTTAGGACTGGATTTCGGTAAGGGTTAAGCGATTGCGGTTATTGCAAAACATCCTCCCCAAAATAATTCGAGCGCTAATGCTACGCTCAAACGTATTAAAAGTACACTGGTCATTTCTATAAAATCACGACTTCATTTTTTCGGCGAGGTGTAAATTCTGAAAAAATATTTTATTTATGAAACACTCTTTTGGATTTCAGGTTCTAATAGACCTAGACAAATTGTTGAATTTTTGCATGCACACATTGTATATGTGGGTAAACATACAAAAATATTTTGAGAAAAAAACCGTTCTTCTAGGGGTTTTTTAAATTTATTGGGAGGAAATCATGATGGCGTCTTCGAATGAGAAGAAGAA